GATAAACTTAACATCCATGGTTCGATGGAGGTAAGCATGTTTTAGCCATGTTTTTAAAACACGAATTATTTTGAATGAATAATAAAAGAATTATTGAATTCAGCTTTCGTATCATATGAAGAATTATGGAGATCTCGGAGGGTGTTAATAATTCTTCATAAGATACTCAGCCTCATTCATTAATTGTCAAATATAGGCAAGTGAATAAACATGTCATCCTGAGATGTTATTCATTAAAACTGTGTCACAACTTGCTATAAATATTGATATATAATGCAATAGTAGCTTTAATGTAAATTACTATAGGCTTTGCTGAGTGCGACATACTGTAATTCTTGAACAAGAGAGTCTGAGTTTTTGAAAAGAATACAAACCGTTGATACGCTCAGTAAGCTCTAGCAATAGGAAATACGGGACAAGAAACATGAATTAAATAAGTTGGGTAAATAAACTGCTTTTGACATATGTATGTGTGTCTTCTGGCCCAAAGAATCTAGTTTTTTTTTAAAGCAAATGCAAAAAAATAGAACTTTCTTGCTGGTTCCACTTTATTTGGTGTTATTCAATCGGACTATTCGGTTTTTTTTTTTTTTTCGAAAAAGATGCGACAATGGGCTGAATCAGAAAATACTGGCGACTAAATGCGCATTATTAAAACGTGCACGTGCTTTCAATTTTTGTTAGGGCTCATGTGTAAAACAGCGTAAAGAACCTTTCCAGGAGAAATTCAAAGCTTTTGGAATTACAAAATGAATCTAAACATACCAAAATTCCAGACGTACAAAAGTTGTTCGTCACTGCAAAATTCTTCTTTCTTACGATGGTGTTAATTCACCACAATTAGGCAATTTTAAATATCAGAATTTTCATTGTACGAAAACAAGTATTGTAAGAAGTATGTCAAACGTAAATCTGTAAAGAGTGTGTCAAATATTGGACTGATATTCTAAGTTCACGCCAGCAATGCTTTAACTTACTTTTATAAAGCTGGCTCTGCAAGAGGCAAAATGAAGTTAATTCTTTGTTTTGTTTGGTTACCCGAGCGGGTTAAGATAGGAAGCGCTTGCCTGCTCGGGACTATTAATCCATTCACCCAAGAGTTTTCTTTCTGCCAGTTATTAATTATGAATCCTTCACTTTGCAAGCTTGTTCGTTCAAGATGGCCGGATGTTGGCCACGACCTTTGTCTAGGTCTTTAAATAACGCAAAATTAAAAAAAAAAACAAAATGATTAAATGAAAAAAATAAAATGAAGTAAAGAAAACAGAACTTGAACCGGGTGATTTGACCTCACGCTTGATGAACAAAGGGTACACGCCTATTACATAGAGACAATGAAAGAGTCGTCGACAGAATTGACCTCTCCACAAAATACCATAACATACCATAATGCTCTTTGTTTGTCGCCCCAAAGTTTTGCATAAGCATTGTCTTCAGTTTTTCTTGGGAGTTAAAATGGCCCCAAGAGAAACTGAAAACAATACCAATGTAAAATTTGGGGGTTACAAACAAAGAGCATTATGGTATGTTGTGGTATTTCTGAAGTGCGGTCACGTCAATATCTTAGGGCCTGTTTACATGGGGGTGGGGGGCCCCAGGTAGGTAAGGTAACCTGCTTAGGTGAGGTAAAAAAAATAATAACCCTCCTTTACAAGCAATCTTACAACCCCGCCATCCTGGGGTGCACTTTCTCAAGATTATTGAATGGTCGCTAAGCACTTAAACAAGAAAAATACTGGCAAACCACGTGTTTTGGCGATTAATGGACTTCTTCACTCACTTGTTGCTCTTACTGCAACCTTCAGTGCAATGGCTTTCTATTGTTAACTTTAATAATAACAAAAATCCACCTCCAAAGTGAATTTTGCGCGAATTTGGTGTATCACGAATACGACCCCGGCAAGGCGGGTTACCCCACATTAAAACGTTTACATGGCAAAATTTGACCCCGGCTGAGAGGGTAACCCGGTCTGGTAGACCGCGCTACCCGCCTTGGCGGGTCACCCCACCTATCATAAACCTATCGTAAACGTGATCAAATTAAAATGAGAGATGATATGGACAGGCGGGTTACCCAACCTAAGAGAGTTACCTCACCTACCTGGAGTCCCCCACCTCCATGTAAACAGGCCCTAAGTTGCTTATTCCAGGCGTTCCCGCATAGAATAATGTTACACGCATAGAATAATGTATTCATTATTTCAAACATCTAGGTATAACTGGATTGACGTAACACGACATCATCATGACATCGAATCCCGATTTTGTTGGCTGAACTCATATTTCACCCAATGTTTCCTCTAAAAATAGCTAGTTTGCGGACACAGACGATATATTTCCGGTCGTCACTTTTATCCACCCAAAGATACGTCTGTGTCCGCTGGCTACTCTAAAACTAGCCATAAAGCGAAAATACTTAAATGTGAAAGTACCAAGTTTGGCACGGATTTTGCTTCGGCGATTTGATTTACGATTGGCTAACGTGAACAATAGTCCTCGAGCAAATCTTTCCAGCGGAGGAGGTTTACTTTGGCCAAGTGACGTCCAATAGGCTACCCAGGGAGCCCAGGGTGGATTTAGTTTGATTTGGATTTGGTTGATATTTTTGCAAAGACCTAACATCTCTATGCTCAGTAAACTGCATTACAAATTTATCTGGAATTCCAGTTTCTGCAGCCCCCGGGTCGCTGTTGTTGAACGCAGGCTATGGTTTGTGTAAATTGACCTTCAATTCCAGCGTCTTTGCATACCTTTTTACCGTTTCCTACAGCATGTTGTGCCTACTGGACAATTTCCACACTAAACTAACCGCAAAATGTATAAAAAATATTGTGAGACTATTTTAACCTAACGCATACAATCTGCTGTTTCGTTTAAAACTTACTATTATCAGAATACTTGAACCGACGCGTAGAAGTTATAAAAATATAACGCCCGGCGTCCTTCCCCTGAACCACGTGGTAACATAAAAGCGTCGACTGCTTCTAAACAATCGAACACGCCGATAAAATGGTCAAAACAACTGAGCAAAGAAACCAAACAACACAAAGCAAACTCCTTTGAGGACGCCACAAAAAGTTTCTTAAAACCTTGTCGAAACCTCAAAATTTTATAAAGGTGATGTTACACGAGACGATTCGCAACGACGATTTTTAGCGAAACATAGCGACGCAATATTGGAACAATGTTGAAAGCATTCGAAGCAATGTCGCAACAGAATTTTGTGTTTAACGAAAAAATGACATCAAAAATGCAGCCTTCTACTGCCTTCTACAGGTTAATGCACCGTTAACCGAGAAGACCTGGGGACGAGGTTGAGTTGTTTTGGTTATGAACTTGAAAAATGGCGGACATTTCACTCGTTTCAACTAGGCGAAAAAATAGCTAGCAACATAGCAAGAACAGCAAGAAGACAACTCGAAGGGCGACATCTGCTATTTGGATAGTATTTGCGGGGCTGAACAACCCTAAACGTGCACTATCGAAGATGTATACTTCACTCTCAGAAAAATATCAGGAGGCCTTTAAAGTTTACAAGTTTATTGTCAATTACAAAGCTTCGCACATGTTCATCAAATGATCGATATGACCATCTTCGCACTGTCTTCAGTACTTTGACTTGTATCTTCTGTAAGGCTTTAACGTCTGATGAGTCTGTTTGGATTTCCATAACGCTTTGCACAACCAGCCCGGCACCATTTTTCGGTAGGGCTATTGAAGAAAAATGCTCCACCGACTCTAACTGAACCGTAGTAGACTTCTGCGGCCATTTTACATGGAAGGTCCCAGAAGTTGCAATTTGTCAGCATGTCTTTCCAGAAAGCATCATCACATTGGACTCGCTGCCACCCATAATGTCGACCCTGAAACCAGTAAAAACTTATTAGTTCATTTCCTCTGCGCCTTATGGTTAAGGAATCCAAACGACCACTCGATAATGGCAGCATTATTGTTTAATTCTACGAAGACCACGCTGATAATATATATTTCAGGTGGTTGAGGCACTGGAAGGGGGTTATCGTGTTCACGTTACAAGCGCGCCATCTTTGTTGGTATTATAATAAACGTACTAAATATTGCGGTGAAGACGTCGCTTTTTTTGTAAGTGAATCTGCCTTTTTCGTACCATTTTTTTTGGCGATTATTTCAACTGGCTTACTTTCTCAAATGTAGGCGAACTCTCCTGGAGTTGAATTACTAAGAAACGTAATGGGAAGTACGTATTTAAGTGATAACTTAATATATATTTTATTTTGCATATAATATAAGTACGCCACTGTTTGAAGTGAAGTTGCAATATCTGAGATTGCCTCTCACGCAGTTCGATTATGAGCCCTTTATTCGGCGTCAGAACTCCAAGCAAAAATATCCAGCCCAATAGGCCACTTCTGAGTTTCAAAAACCCTCACTTTTAAAATGAGGCCAAGTGCACTACCTTTCTTATGAAAATGAGTTTTATTTGCATGAGAATGAAAAATCATTTTCATATCAAAGGCTGAGCACTTAACCTCGTTTTGATACAGCGGCCTGGGGGAACTCGGAAATGGCCTATTGGCCACTTTGAGGTCGGGCGGGAGACCGGGTCGGAGATGGATGTTAAGTGCATTGTGGGACTGTCTTGGGGGACGCATTTCCAATATGGCGGCAACTTCTTCCTCAAAACAGTCCCAAAATGCACTTTGACAACCAATCTCAACCTGGTTGGTGTTGGTGTCCCAATCCAATCCTGTGGGAGGTGAACTCAACCTCAACCTGGTTGATGTTGGTGTCCCAATCCAATCCCGTGGGAGGTGAACTCTTTTCTTATGCAAACGCTTTCGTTTGTTTCAATAAATTTGCATAGATGCTGGCCACTTGAGTGAAAACGCTCTATAAACCTGCATAAATCAGTTGACAGGAAAGAAGACGGTGGATAACAACGTATCCCCAATTCGTGTAAACAGGGCTACTTAAGCTATCTTTGTCCTCATACGTTTGCGGTAATCCCTTTTTTTCTTAAGAAAGGAAATTAGTCTTACACAGTAGTAGCAGACATCATGTTTGTCACAGGCAAGTCTAAATTTTGTCTTGTAGAAGAATGAGAGGTCTCCTGGTATGGAGCATCCATTAACTTTTACGTAGCATGAGGTCACTTCTGGGATCAAGAAAAATACTACCAACAGACTAAGCACGACGCATAAGGCTGAGAGTCTCATGGCGATGTCAACCGGACAAAGAGAAAACCTTAAAAAGAAGAGAAAGAACAGCTGACAAAAGCTGAGAGGCTGAAAAATTTTATAAAGATTAGCTTGCACAGGATGGTCACTTGTGGGTTCAAAAACAATACTACTAGCAGACTAGTAGTATTTTTTGTATGATTCTCATGGCGATTTCTGTCAGTTAGGGAGGCAACCTTAAAAAAAAGGTAGAGATAAAAGACAGTGCAGCTAATAAACTTAAACAACAATTTTGGGTGAAAATACATGTTTTTTCAACTTCTTTCAACAACAAAAGTAAATCTTGTGGCTAAAATCATGCAAGGTGTATATTTATGTGTTATTTTTCATGTAAAACACAAAAATTACCATTTCTTGCGGTTTTAACCTGTTTTCCAATTCTCGGTAAAATCCAAGATGGTGACTATTGTTGGTGACGTCACAGGCCTCCAGCAGCGCCATCACCCATAAAATATACCTCATCTTGTTAAGAAGATCAAAGGCTTTCCACTAAAGGTAAGATCGTTTCAAAATACTGCAACATATCAAAAACTCCGGGGAGGGATTCCATTCCCCCCCTCTTGTACCTTGGTGGGGGTATGAATTTGCTTGTACGTCCGAGGGGTAATAGTTGTCAGACAATGAATTATGCTTTCTTTAAGCTTCTAGAAGTAATTACGCTAAAGGTGTTTGCCATTTACTTGTTTGTTGCGTAGCCCTTAAGGTATTTCTACCAAAATTAAAGTAAAAAAGAAGAAGCATAATTTCGGAAATAACGCAAAAGTACCAAGTACTCGTGAATCATCAAATTCATCAAATTCCTGCAGCACTAAAATTTTGCACTCCTTTGCTTACATAGTTTGAATAATCGGCCCCAAAAAAACCCTGTTATTGAGATGTATCTCAAAGTCAACAACGGCCCGTGACAGGAAAATTTCAATGAGTCAACATTACAACACATTGTCATACTTTGACGCAGTAATTTATAGCTAGTGACCAAATAGTACTGGCATACAAAACAGTCAATGTCCAATTAGAAACCGCCATATCAAGGTTACTCGACGATTCGACGATATGATTGAGCTGGGTAATGATAACAATGTCCAGTAATGCTAAAAATACCGGTAGAAACGCTTTGATACGCATCGCATTTTTTTTTATTCCTGTAAACTTTGCTTTCAATTTACCACATTATGTTGGTAGCTATATGCACCACACAGGTAAAAAGAGAGTAGAAAAAATATTTTAAAAAAGACAAAAAAAAAAGGTAGGAAAAATTCGCTTCAAGGGGATTCGAACCCGGACCCTAAGAATCAGTTAGAACTAAACGTAAGCCAGTCTAGTCCCTAGTAACCTGAGATCAGGCTCTATTTTCGTTTCACTTTGTAAATTACGTACATTCCGACGGGCATGGCGAAACGAAAAGAGAGCCTGATACAAACCTTCTACGAAACATCTGCCGCCCACTTTTTTGATTGACTGACATTTGCCGAATCAGCCAACCAAAATTGCTTCCGTTGCTTGTTTTTCTAGAATGCAATTTAGTCAAAAGAGGGAATTATAACAAAAACCAGCAAGTGAAAAAAGAGGATCAAAAGACCAATGCCATACAAATACAAATCGCCATAACATGATTGTTTCACTATCAACCTTTGACTTAAGAATTTTTCTCTCTCGAAGTGTTAATGTAAAAAAAGGCTACTCAAAAAGTGAAAGTTACATTATCATACTATAGTCTGACCCATCATTTAAAAAACTATTGAATAAAAATACCCAGGTCTTTTGATCTCTAACAATTAATATAATTCTTCGTATATCTGTGCCTCGTTCTAGTATTACTCATGAATCATCAGCAAGTAACAACTCCTTTGCTTGCACAGTTCAAATAATCGGCCAAAAAACCTTAATAATTGAGATGTATCTCAGTCAACAAAGGCTCGCGGCAAGGAAAATTCAACCGACAGTTGAAGACATCAGTCTATTTGCATTAAGATAATCCTGAATATAAACATTTATATCCTTCGTTCTTGGATCAACATATAGCACATTGTCATACTTTAACGCTCTAATTTATAGCTAGTGACCTTCTGCCAACAGTACATTTCCAATACGAAACCGCCATATGAAGGTTACTATCAAAGATTTTCTTGCTAGTTTTGTTATCTTTCCTTCTTTTGACTAAATTGTAAAAGACATTAGCATTTTAGCAGGGTGAAAATCCTGGGCATGTGGAATAAGCCATTTTTTTCCTGAATTTTCGTATTCTTTAAATCGCAAATATATAATTATACCATACAATAAATAAATTAACCCACACAACTATTTCTTTTCCTTTTTAACCTCTGAGTCTAGAATTTTATTACATTAATTTTGTTCCTCTAGCTTTTCTTGGCGATATTTGTTACCCAGTACTTTTAGAACAAGAAAAATTCTCGCTCCTTTTGCTTTTTTTGCGACATTTGCGGACTTTTCGAGGCCACTCGTTATCTTTTCTCTTTCTCAGTCTAGAATTTTGGTAAATTGTCATTCTTGCTACGCTTGCGATATTTGTTATGCAGTATTTTTTAGTTGCAGAGAAATTGCGGGTTACTTTTGCGTTTTTTGCAAAATTTGCGATCTTTTCTAGGCCCCTAGTTGCCTTTTCTCTCTCTAAAATTTTGTTAAATTTGTTAGTCTTGCTATTCTTGCGATATTTCTTACTCAGTCTTTTTAAATAGCAATAAAAAATCTTGCTATTTTTGGAAAACTTGGGAACTTCTCGAGATCCTAGCTTCTTGGCCTTTTCTCTTTCAAAGCGTAATTTTTTTTAAATTTGTTAGTCTTGCTACTCTTGCGATTTTCTTTGCTCTTTCTAAGTGAAGAAATTTGTTGAATTTTTTATTGCTATTTTTGCGATATTTGCAAGCGAGTGTCTCGCTAAATTTTCTGGTGAGTCATTTTTTGCTAAAATTGCGAAAAACTTAGCTCGCACATTTTTGCTAGTGCGCTCAATCCTGGACATATCTCCCATACCTTGAGTAGCAACAAATAAGAATATGTAGAATCGCTTATCAATTTCCTGGTCAAATACAGCGGCCAACATATAGACTATACACGTCATTATCTCGGAGACGGCGTTATCCAACAAATAATACGCATGTCTTTGTACCAGATACTTTCTGTATATAATACTTGCACTGCTTATCGGCCTTGCCAATAAGTAAGGTTTGCACCAGCTCACAGCAAAAGGGCTATCTGATAATATATATTGCGCGTTGGAGATGGCACGAAACAGGGCCATAAGCGCGCATATTATTTCTAAATACAGTTATCATTTTATCAGATACCTGCTAAACAAATGTAATATTTACATACTTGTTAGGTTTGTTTAACTTTCGTTTTTGGTCCCGAGGTTTCCAAATATATTTTCACCGCCTCACCGTGTTTGTCGTGGCTTGCTCACTAGATTCAGGGATTTCAGATGCGAATGGTCCTAAAAACAATTTCAGGATATTTTATCAACATATCATGCAAGATTTAAATTGCATCGCTAATTAGTTCCTCTTTGGATTATATAATTTTTGGTTTTGCTCTATTTTTTCTTTCATTGTTGCAGAATGAAATTGTACTTCCACTTTATTGCCGCCTTGATATTCGCTATGTTTGATGAAATTCGTTGAGAACGTTTGAAAATACTTTGAAGACAAGAAATACAGTAAAAATTGGAAAAATTGTAATTATAGTTTTTGGAGCGATTTGGAAATTAAATTTCCCTTCATTTAAGTTACTTATTATTTGACAATTGGAGATAAGGGTTCATGGGGATAGCTTTAGCCGATTACGAGGAATTAAAAGGTTTTGGAAACGTGCTTTTAAGCGGAGGAGCTGGTGTTTTTGTAAATGTGGTTCCAGAATTCGTAGAAGATCATGGCGGGCCGTAGTGCAACCTCGTTCCCAGGGTTCTCTCCTACCCGCCCTACGGAGCGAGAGAGAGAGAGAGAGACCCTGGAAAACGCTGGTCACGTAGCTCCAGAACAAAATTATTTCTAAGGGAGGAGTCCCTTGTCTCACATTTTTTTGTCTGGTTTATTCGCGACGTTCACGCAGTGATCGCAATAGCAAGATAGATTTGCTAATCCTACTACAACTATAACTGAAACTAAAAGGAAATTTCTGCCTTAACAAACCTATCAGATAAACAAGTGAATTACCAGAGAAGGAATCAAAAACTAGCGTTGTCGTCGGTTAACCGATGACACCAATCGCTAAAAATTCTACGATCTTGAGTTATACACAAGCAAGGTAAAATCCCTGTATGTTGAACTTCTATATTAAAGGTTTCAATGTTCGTCTGACAGCGGCTGGTAATCGGGCGAAATAAACGTACACCATTTGCGGTCTTAGCGGTTCGGCGTGACAAAACTCCGGGAGAAAACATGGTAGTTACATTGAGAGCAAGAAATTCAGTTAATACATTTACGATCAAAGTAATATTTTAGATCTAGTGACTTCACGGAAAGCTATAGCCTAAAATGTCAGCATTTACCACCCCCTAACCTTTGTCATGATGCGGCAAAAGGAAAGTGGTAAATAGATCAAAGACAAATTAAAAATAATTATATACCAACGCGACATGTAAGACAACAGGAAATAGTATAAGCAGAGACAAAACAGACAATATAATCTTCCAAGCGAAAGGCTTTCTTGTTTATGGCCAATATGAAAACTTTATTTAAAAACACATGTGGCTAACTGATTTCTAAAAATCCTCTACAGCATACTTAAACATCCAGAAAATTAACAAGGAACAATAGATGGTTGGCAGTTGTGCAAGCCATATCATACGGTATTTTGCAACAAAGAAGCTTTCAGCTATCCTGATATTATAAAAGACGACAAAAAATGCAAAAACACAGAGCCTTGGCTAAAAATATTTTCTTTCAAGATTCTCTTTACCTCTTTCCATTTGAACAATAGCTAACAATCAGCCTGACTGTCCGAGCCGCGTATTCTCTTCCCGGTACACACACGGTGAATCCTCCGCCATTTCCGTTGCATGTGCCAAATGGAAGGATCGCTGATAAACATCCGATTAACATCCAGATATTCTGCAGGAAGTTACGCTTTCGCTGTCAAAAGACTTTGTCCATTATTTTCCGCGATCAAGATCAGGTCAGTACACAGTTTGATGGCTGCACTGACCTGTCTACGCTCTGTAGAAACAAATCTCACACTTACCTGCCCCTCCCCCAAATCGTTTGTTTGTAATCTCCCAGATTCTGGGAGACACGTGACCAGCGTTTTCCAGGGTCTCTCTCTCTCTCTCTCTATCGCTCCGTAGGTCTGGTAGGAGAGAACCCTGGGAACGAGGTTGGCCGTAGTGTCTAGAACGTTAAGTAGTTAGTAATCGCAAGATATCCTTTTTTTCGGTGGGGGAAAAAGGAGCACCAAGAACGCTCTTACACCGGCCGTCAGTCTCTCTTGCTTGGAGATTAGATCGAGAA